TGGGGTTATATAGAAATAATGGAAAAGAAAATGGAAACTACTATAGTATATTGGGGTTATATAGAAATAATGGAAAAGAAAATGGAAACTACTATAGTATATTGGGGTTATATAGAAAAATGGAAAAGAAATGGAAACTACTATAGTATATTGGGGTTATATAGAAATAATGGAAAAGAAAATGGAAACTACTATTTAGATAGGAGAGATTCGATCAATGGAAGCTGAGCTTGAACATTCAGAGCAAAGCCTGTCTATCTCAGGCCCGTTTCCGGAGCTGGTGCTGCAACCAGTTCCCGGGCGGTTCCGACGAATGCCTCGTGCGAATGTCCAGAAAAAGCGATATCAAAGTGGATGTTGCCAGCTTGCAAGCCAGCATTTTCATGTGAGCTCTTTGACACAGCTCCGTTCAAGTCCAAAAGCACTGTCCAGCTGCAAAGCAGTCGTCACAAGCTGCACGCTTGTGGTAGCATGCTGTGGTCTCCCGGCCTGCGGTTTGTCAAATCATGGCAGGCAACAAAGCCTGGCACGAGAATTTCAGCTGACAGATATGCTGCTTATCCAAGGCTATTAAGATCAACCTCTTCCACTTTGAAGCAGATCTGGCCCCGTGGACTTCATGGGAGGGTCGGGGCTGGAACTACCCCTGGGTTCGTCGTGCAGAGTGCTCCGTGCGGCACCCTAGTGCGCTCCAATGAACGTGGGCGCGGGCCCACCAATAAGCTGAGAAGCATTGAGGTGGCAAATGGTTGGAACCACGGCTCAGAAGAAGAGTTGTTCAACGCCATCAGCGCGGACCAGAAATTCATAGTGGCCAATGATATGCGGTGGCTGCCAGTAAGCAACTATGAGCTTCATGCATCAGACACGGCATACCTTTCATGTGACTCTGATTCCTGAAATTGGAGCCAGCAAACCAGCGGCCATAGTGGCTGAGCTCCACCATGTCTGGTCTCAGGCTCAACTTGGACCTGCGACGGTTCAAGCGAAAGCTCAAAGCAAAGGAGCAGGCCATGCACGAGACGAAAGTCCGTGCAATCAAGCATGGCGCGAAGGACAGCATGTCAACCAGCTGGTAAGATTTGTTGTACAGTCACCCTCGCGACCCAAGATCCCAGCGAGCAAGTGGCGTCCCGGAGGACCCCAGAGAAAACTTAGCACCTTGTCACCACGTTTGAAGCCCCTGCTGCATTCATGGATGAATTGTGATCAAGCCGAACTGTTTAAGTGAAGCCTTTTCAGGCAGGGTTTTGCACGGGCTCAGGCAGACTTCAAGCGCTTCCTGCGGCACAAGCACGGCGGAAGTTTGTTGAGGGCCTGGCGTCAATCACTTGTGGAAGGTGCTTGCACTTGCAGGAGGTAAGACTTGGCAGGAGGTTTAGACAGCTATGTTTGCAAGAAGGCTCAAGAGGTGCCAGAGCCTTGGGGTCACTGGGATCACAAGAGTTTGTGCAAGACCCGCAGACGTCTAGAGCAAAGCCGCTCTGTGCAGAGGTGATTCAATGATGCTACACAAGGGCCAGTTCTTCAAGGCCAGGATGTGTCAATTTAATCATCCTGGCCGCACCCGACCCTTTGGAGGCTTGCGTCAACCTCAAATGGCGCACGGAATCTTGGAGTGAATGTTTGGAAGTCACTGCGCCCATGTACCTGCCAGTAGACTCTTCTCTTTTGGCATGGCATGCACAAGGGAAGCAACAAATTTGTTGCGTGAGCGGAAGGTCATGTAGCCTCGTCAGGCGACGTCCAGCACTAGCGTCATGCGTGGTTGTTTTCTTTGAGTGCACGCGTCTACGCGGCAGAGCATTTTAAAGAGCACAGGAAGAACAATAAGTAAGGAGAGGATTCATACCCTGCATGCAGCCCAGGATGTCAAAGGCTTATGGGAGTTGCTTGACACGGACTCAAGCGGAACAATCGGCATTGAGGACCTGCAGTTGCTGCTTGCTTGTTCAAAGGCTCAGCAAGATGGACGCAACTGCATTTGCAAGCGAGCTGTATCCGATCAAGAACCGAGCCCTCTTCTTGCTCCACGTGCACACCTAGGATAGTATAGGGATCATGGAAAATAAAATGGAAACTACTATTTAGGGTTTCATGGGGTTATTATCCCTATAAAACCCCTATATACTACAGTAGTGTCCAATGTCTTTTCTATTTTCCCGATATAACCCCAATATAACGCACGTTGCAACTTGGCAGTTGGGTCCAATCCTTTGGTGCAGAACTTCTCGGGTTTAGGGTTTAGGGTTTAGGGTTAGGTGGTTACTAAACTGGACAAGAAAGAGCAGAGCCCCTGCATGGGGCTTCTCAGAATATCACTCATTGAGTTCCGAAAAAGAGACTCCCATGATCAGCCATAGCCTCGTTGTAACCCTAAGGATCTTGGGCTTAGCTTTTTGGGAACCTCCCTGGGTTGCACATGAGCTATAGTCTGAACTCCTAGTATCCCTAGGTTTCTCCCCTGTATAATCACCTTTTTAAACCCCTTTAAGGAATGTAGATCCTAATCCTAAAGAATCCCAGATATCCTTCCCTTTAATTTAAGGAGTTTAGACCCTAAACCCTACATAATCCCGAAAATCCCCGATATAACCCCCTTTCAGGAGTTTAGACCCTAAATCATGAACCCTAGATAATCCCTATATAATCCCGATAATCCCCTATATAATCCCCTTCAAGGAGTTTAGACCCTAACCTTATATAACCCCCCTTCAAGGAGTTTAGACTATAGCTCACATGAGTAGTATTTTNNGTTCAACCACCCAAAAAAAACGCTACTCACATGAGAGGAGTTAGACTTCAAAGCCGCAGAGGAGCTGGCACTATTCCGTTGCTTGATTTGCGCTTACCAAAAATGAGCTACAGCTTAAACTCCTGAAAGGAGGTTATATAGACGACTATATAGGGTCATATAATTTATGGTTTAGGGTCTAAACTCCTTACAGGGGTTATATAGGGGAGTGCTACACGGCTGATTAAAGGGGGATACTAAGATTTTAGACTATAGCTCAAATGGAAAACCTAACCGAATCGACAGTGCAAAATGAAAAGGACATTGGGAGTCGGAAGGGGTTTCAGGAATTTTGTAAGGTAGAAGTCTGAATCAGTCTGAATACTTACCCGTCGTATTCACGTACCATCCTGATCCCGTTCTTTTCCTCAATGAGTGCTCACTGCCTGAAACCTCGCTGAGGTCAGTTTGTCATGCAGAAGTTTGGAAATGCAACTCGAACTTTTGCAGCAGCTGAGCCGCAGTCGATGTTGGTGACCTCTCTTGTGTATGCATGAAACGTTGCCCATGATCACCAAGTGCACTGGGGCAGCGCACACCTGTCAGCTCAATTCACTCAAGTAGCCGTGAGTCCTAGGCGCGTTGGATTCCGGATAGGATCGGATAGGAGGCAGCAGCTGCAACATCGTGCGACGCAGCGTAACACAATGGTAGTGCTGCTAGCGAATTCGACGGCAACTCTGCAGTCATCATAGCAGCGCTGTAGCGGACAAGGACAAGCTCACCGCCATAAGTTTTGCATGGCTCATCAGACTTCAGCTCCAAACCCAAATGCCGCAATCATGATGTGCGAGTACAAGCTGTTTGCAACTCAGGCGCTTGACTTGGATGGAAACAAGAGCCTTGGCTCTGCGGTTTTTGCTTCAGGGTCGGTCATGTCACCCTTTCATTGGTTTCAGGACCTCCCAGCCACCATGACCAAACCCGCGACTAGAGAGTGGAGTCCTTCGGGATTTTTGCCAGGAATGTCAGCGACGTGGAGTTTCTGCAGGCGCTGAAGGAGTTCGGCTATGAGCAGAGAGATAAACAGCTCTTCCATGCGCTGCCAGCCTAATGAGACCCACTTCTGCTTTTGAGAGTGGAAGGCTTGTCATCGTTTACTGCCAATTCCTTGCCTGCATAGTTTAAGGCTGGATAGACATGGCAAGAAAAAGATCAACCTGGAGGACATTGCCTGGCAGGGTTCGGTTGATAAATAGTGCTGGGGTACCACTCAACTTTCACCAAGGGTTCTTGCCATTCGTGTCCGCGTCGCCGGGCCTAGAGCAGCCTTGCAAATAGTGTCGAAATTGCACACCCGCCTCAGTTACATGCCTGCTCATGAACGGTTCAGCAGCTGCGCGCTCCAAATCACATGCTGGCAATTTGACTCCGCTTTTACTCAGGGCGTCCTAGGAATTTGGCTGCAAATCACGCTCTCGCAACACTCCCTTGGAGTCCTTGGCTTGTAGTGGCCTTGGAGTGCCTGACGTGCTCTTGGAAGTGCTTTGGAGTGGCCCATGAGTAGAAGTCCATTGCCACAGATTCCCCACACCATACCTATATAATCGCTGCAGAATGCCAAGAGAATCAAGCATGCTCTGTAAAGCCCCTCAACAGCCGTGAAAGGTACAAATCCCATATGCCCTATTGAATCCGACACGAAGGAACAACCCGCATTCATGCCGTATTACCCTTCACTATCTGTCACTACATTCAAAGGATTCCTGCCATCAACCCGTGCCAGCCGTTTGCGGACCGAACTCAAGAATTTTCAGGGCTGCTTTCTGACGCCAATCCAAGCCCAACGAGGCCAATCCCAAACAGTTTTTCGAGCCATCCAAGCCAAATCGGCTTACAGACCAACAGGATTTCAGGCAGTTTCTGGGCCGCTTGCACCCCAACTCCTGGCCTTTTCAAGCTAGTTTCAGGAGTTATTGGGCATAATAAGGTATAATATAGTATATTACAGTACCCAAAGCCAATCAGATTTGCACTGGCGTTCTCAGAGAGTTGTTGGGCTGGGCTGGTTCTTTGCTGGGTCCCAGCCAAGTACTTGATAGGAACTTCGTAGGCCAGTGAACAAGCAAGTAAATATCCAAATGTGAAGGATCCCATACCCAGATTCCGTGGTTCCAACCCCTAAACCCTAAAACCCTTAACCCAAAAAACAACTAAACCCCAGGACATCCTGTTCCTTGATAGCTGGAAGCCTATGGAGTTCTTGCTGGCGAGTCCGAACCCTGAGGCAGCCCAGGCCTTCAAGCTGAGGCAGGGCCTCTTAGCAGTGTTGGGGTTACTATTACTATTACTATTACTATTACTATTATTATTGTTATTTCTATTATGATTACTATTATTATTACTAATATTATTACTTGGGGAAAAGGCGGTGGAAGCTACTATATTATGATAGGGTATATATTGGGGTGATATTGGGATAATGGAAAAGAAAATGGAAGCAACTATATTTTTGGAGGCTACTGGGCGTCCAGAATTAAATTAAAGCCTTAAGAATAATATCGTGAGAGCGTCTCAAAAAACATTTCCATAGCCCTGGAAAGGGTGTACCTGGACAGCCCTGTCAACAGGAATTATTTCGGGAAGCATTTTCAGGAAGTCTTGTCATGCTCCCGTCCACACAAGGGAAACATTCCTACGAAGATCCCAGATAGAAAACGAAGCTTCAGTATGGTATAAGGGCGAGGCATTGTAGGCGAGAGCTGCGCACAGGTTCGCCTTTGGTGTTTGACCTGCAGAGTAATTATGATCATACTAATTACGAATACCTCTTACTGATAAGATGAGTAATACTCGCGTGTCTCAGTGCAGTCGCGACAGTGGCGGCTGCCGCGAGGGTTCTTCTCGGGAGGGATGCAACCAACAAACCATGAAAGGCGGCCTCACATGCCCCCTGCGCCAGGCTTCGCGAGAAGTTTGGGACCTTCCTTCGTGCCTGGAAGCTGTTGCATGGCCGGCTAATATCGACAAAAGTGTAATGGTGACATTGAACCGCATTAGAACTGGTGGCTAGCAGTTAGAATTACAGAAGCAAAAAAAAAGTGACGGCGTGATCAAGGGGCAGCCTGGTCGCGAGAACTGGCGTCGGAGGGTCACAATGAGTGTAGTCAATCATGGACCAGGTCGTTTAAGACACCGCTCGTTGACCTTGAGGCACAGCAACTTTGACTCTGGAAATTGCTATGAAACCATATCACGGATTTGAAAGTGTAAAGTCAGCTTGATAAAGTTCTTGCACGGCGCGTTTATTCTTCTCTTCTGGGCCCCTAGGCTTTTGGACCAAGATGGCAGCAATACGTGAAGCCTGGCTGCAGACGTGATCACAACGATGACGTGTTAGTCGCATGATTTGGGCGAGCAGCCGTATGTCGTAGAGGGTGCTGCTGTAGTCTTGGTAACTTTGTGAGTACCTATACTCACAAGTGGGAGAGGCTCCGCTTGACTGAGGCACGTGGGAGGAGTTCAGACACACCTGCAAAAGAATTGGTGCCTTTGCTGGAATAAATCTAGCCTCTGCCCAAGAAGTCCCAGCAATAACACTGTTGGGCTTTCACTTGTTCTGGCAAGGTTTGGTAAACCGTGCAAACTTGAGGTGACTATCCCTGACTATAATTGGGTCCTATTGTGGTTTCCATACCCAGGCTTCAAGCAAGATATCGCTGGCGCTTGGAGAGCTCTTGATCAGAAGATGGCAGGACTCAGCGTTGATTTGCCGCTCTTTGAACATGCAGGCTTGTGCAAGCATCACGCCTCTGAGCTGCCTTTGAAATCATGGATTCACCAGAATTTGGCCAAAGCGTCGGCAGTCTACATTCTACAGGCGTAAGCCACAGTCATCTTGCTCAAAATGCCCTCTGTCCTGCAACTTAGCTTCGCGGTTGAGATTGGACCACCTGCGTATGTTGCCATCCTGCAGCTCAGCCTTGCTTGATTTGTTGAAGCTATGGCGGTCATTGCTTTCCGTCCCAGAAATGGTTGCAGAAAAAATGCAGGGTACTGGTAGGGTCAACAAGGCCAGAAACTATACTCAAACTGCAACTTGCAATTGTGCAGATCACATCTTGGCGACATTCGGTGCTAATTGGATCAAAGGAAACGCTTGCACTTGCCACGTGGCGTGCGCTATGCATATGTCAGCATGGTACCAATCCCTGCAGGAACGATTTCCTTGTCGGACATTGATCCAGCTTCTAGTACCGTACTTCTGGCCTCCTGGTGATAAAGCAGATGAGCCATAACGTAAACTCGTTGCAGGGGTTGTTAAAGGGGATTCGGTAGCGGATTCCTATAGCGGTTAATAAGGGTGGCACTAGTACTTCTGGCCTCCTGGTGAGAAAACACATGCTGTCGATCAGATGCGCCTCAGGCTTGAAACTGCCAAGGTTTGTTCTCAGAGGGGTCACACAATCACCTGAAGCTTGGGGAATAAGTTAGCTGACCCTCATTTAACGTACAAAATTATCCACAAACCTCCAAGTAAGGCCTGCAAAGCTAAATCCTGGGATTTGGGGCTAAGGAACACAGAGCCTTCCAGATATCGCAAACCGATCATGAAGGGAATGTTGGTAAGATGCTGAGTAATTGTTGAAGCAATTGTTGCCAAGGACTTCCGAACATGGGCTGTCGAGGAGTTCGGCAGCGTCCGCTCAATGTTTGCCGTACCTTGGCATGACAGCCGTTTCGGGAGCCGTTGCTTGCCGTGGCTAGACAGGACACCCATAGAGGGTCCATTTTGACAAGAACGTGTCCCTAGATTCGCCCCGGATACCTGAAAGTTGTTCTTTTGCTTGGATTTAGGTCTTCGATGAGGATGGCTCCAAATCTCTGTCTCTCAAGGAGTTCAAGAGAGCATGCCGCATCTATGGCTTCCGTGGTTTCCTGAGCCTTTACCATAGTCAGCCTTCACTTTTTATTTCCCGCTTTTTTTTCGTGAACTATGGGAGTTGCGGTGTAGGGGCGCGGGCAAGAATCTTTCGACCACAAACCTCTGAGGAAAGGCCTCTTCAACATTTTGGACGGCACTGGTAGCGGAGCACTGTCGGTCGATGAGACAGGGCAGGAAGTCTTAGAAGTGGTTTTGGCTTGGTTTGAGTGCGAGACTATTTCTTACTCATAAATAGGGCCAATAAGGGACACGTGAAACGGTTTCAGACGGCATCTAATGGACCTCTAGGTGGAAGCTGCGCATGTTTTTGGAGCCCTCAATGTGACAGGCGTCCCAGTTATCATGAAGCTCCAATCCTTTCGCAGACGTCTGAGAATTTACAGGTGAGTCAAGAACCAGCAATCTTGCTGTAGGGTCTTTCAAAGTGCAGCGAAAACAGCGGGACCTGTGCTTTCACAAGTTTTGGTAACCCTAAGCAACATTCAGGACAGTTTCATGGCACGGTAGATTCCTCGCCACGGATCATCAAGTGCCAGCCTAATATATGAAGAGTGTAAGGAAATTGTATTCCTGGACCGCTGGGCCACGCAAGAGGAAGACCCTTGGCAAAACTTGACGAGCAGGGCAGTACCGCTCGTTGCGGGGACTAGCTGCAAGGCCAGAAACTAGAGTAGAGGCATGTCAAGGTGGTTGTAGAAAAATGCCTCAATCTCAATCTGGCAAGCTATGCTCATGGGGCCGGTGTTGGATGTCAACAGACATTCGGAATGTATGTGCATAGATTCACAGATCCGAACAAGAGGGTATGCATACAGATGCACAGCTGGCTCTTTTCTCTCTTAGTGCGGGCTTCCCAAAATTAAGGATACCAATTGGGGGGTCCCAATAGCAAGGACTATAGCATTTCGGGGTCCATATTGGGGTCCTCCTATTTTGGGAAACTACCAGATATACTCATAATGTAGTACTTTCCATGTTCTTTTCCATTCTCCCTCTGAGGGATATAGCCCCCCTATTCTGGGACACTACCGAACCTGGTTCCTACCACTTTTTTGTTACATCCTGCCGAGGCAGAAGCCGACAGGGCGAACGAGTCCATGTCGCGTTTGCCCAGCATCTCGTCTTCCCATGTCCACTTACTTTTTCTGTTTGATTCTTCAGCATACCTATAGAGCTTAATGTATATCCCAATATATGTATATATATATATGTATAACCGAAAATATACCCCAATATACATTGGTTCATGTGCATCTGCAGCTATGAGCTCACACCTGCACTTACTAGGGTTAAATGGCAGTTGTCGTGCTCATGAACCCCCCAAGAAGAGGACGCATGGCTGTACCTCCTTTTCAGGGCCTTGATATTAGGATCCCTATGATAATCCCTATTAACAGGAGGAGGTTTATTAATCACGGGTCTACCTTAGCACTGCTATTGACTTGCAAGCTTGCTCTTAAGGACTCTCCGACCCTTAAGTCCCAGGGATGCCGCAGATAGTCGGATGATGGAAACCGGTACCTGCTGAGGCATCAAGCCGGACAGCGCCCCAGAGGATCTGACAGGCATGGGTCCAGGCGCCTTTGCCGAGGGCGCAAGTCATTTGTTAGGTTTTACGGCGCTGTTGTGCAAGTGGGGTCGGGAAGCAGAGAAGTCGAGGCCAAGGAGGTATCAGACAATTGCTGGCATTTTCCCACGAGGGTCCTCACAACGAGCATGCGGCAGAGAGCGTGAGATCCTTACAATGAAAAAGGGACCCATGGATTTGAGAAGCCTCCATGTCGTAAATTCCATGCCAAAGGGGACCCCAACATATACGCCAATCTGTTCTAATGCTTATTAGATGTACCCGAGAATGGTTGAGGGAAGCTTCCATGTAGCCCCTTGAAACTAGACGCAGGCCGATCCGTGGCCAAGTCGCTGGAGGCAGCGGAGACCTCCCCATAATCTTGGCTCCGGTTTCTCATGTAGGGCTTAGAAAATTATAAAGAGATTGTTTATGACGTGGGGGCTATATAGGATTTCACATTACATACAATACGACATGGGGATTACATGGGGACTGCAGCCGTCGGATTCCCCGCAAAACGGTCTGACAAAATCTGGCCGCCCTCCCCTGCAAGTGCCTGCCGGTATGATGCCAGACAGAGATGGGGCTTTTCCAAAATTACGGGTACCAATGGGGGGTCCCAATCATAAGGATCATAGTTGTTTGGGGTCTATATTGGGGTCCTGGTTACTTCAAACCCATAATTGACAAGCTCCTCATACCCACTCTAGGAGTTTGATTGAGGATGGTGCAGCTGCGTTATAAATGGCTGAAGTAGCGGTGGCAGCAGCAATAATAACAACACTAGAGTAGCGACAGTAGCAGAAAGTGCACTGTAAACAGCAATGAAATAAAGAGTCGTAACAGGTACCCCATATAGCCCAACATAACCCCTATAAACCCCCTGTAGCTTGAATGTTCTTTTCCATTATCCCTATATAACCCCTATAAACCCCCTTCTGCCAGGCTGGGGACTGGAAGGACGGAGACCTCCACCCTGCCTTCCGAACTTGGGCTAACTGTCGGCGCAGACGCCCTGTGCTGGGCTAAGTCGGGAAGGGGCGGTTGGGCTGGCGGCACGTTTAGGGGCATGTGTGAGTAGCTGTAACATGTTTCTGATGTCAGTTGGGGTTTGTTCTAGCTGCCCCATATTCCATCTCGTTTGCGATGACTTAAACTTGCTAGGATCTTTCAGGATTAGCAGTCAAGTTTGATGGTTGAACTATTTTGGGTTCAACATGGTTCAACAGAAGTGTACTGTGGTGCGGACACTTGGCAAGTTTGCTTTTCCAGGCTGCCTAGTAGAAAAGGCAGTCTGAGGAAGCCAAGGCCAATAACTTGACAAATGTTCGTGGCTGTCAGGGACTGCTTGCCTGTTGTGGCATGCTAAGATCAGTCGTGAGCAGCTAGGCGAAACAAGTTTGATCAAACAATCCGTGAAGTTTTGCGCGTAGGTGAGTAGCAGCCGCTACCCTAAGTTCTTGCGGAGCATCCTCCCTGAAGCATGGTGCAGGGCTCTTTTGTCAGGTCAAGAAGCAGGATGGATCTCTGCCGCCTCTGGCTTCACAGCTGGATTTTGGTGATGCTCGAGTTGTGCCTGGCTTATTTTGCAAGCGACATGGCATTACAGCAGTACTGCGCGCATCAGCGAATGCTGGAAGAGCAGAAGACGATTGTTGAGGTCCGAAGACCTGTGCTCTTGATGGCCTACGTACCGCAGGCATCTTGCCAGGTTTGCCTGTGCTTGTGAGCGGACATGCAAAACACCGCATAACTGCAGCCAGCCATTGGTGCGGACATCCTCCAGCCATTGAGCCACAAAGGAGGTTGCCTACGAACTCCAGAGCGCTCGGCTCCCGAAGATTCGTCAGGAGGCGTGTCACTGCACTTGCATGTAGCAAGCATCGTGCTTGGGATATTGGGATGCTTGAAGGGGAGAGGGAGACGTCGGGAAGTGGGGAGGGTGTTCAAGCAAGAATTTTCAACAGCAAACGATTCCCCCAGAATAGGTGCAAGCAAGCTCAAGCAAAGACCATCATTGCAATTGTTGCAGTGTATGCGCACTGCTTGGCACAGGTTTGCTGCAGTTCATAGAGGCGTACTTCAGACCACTGGCACAGCAGACTTGAGGGGAAAATGAGAAACATACCCCGGCCCTTAACCCCTGAATTCTCATATTCTTCCAGAGAGCATGATTTGGCCCACTGTCCTGCTCAGGCACGTCGCAGTCAAGCCGAAGGCTTTCACACTGCTCGGTGACGCTTGCCCGGTCGCCTCCCAGTTCTGCCAGGACATGCATCTTGCGTAACACAGGAGCAAGCTGCAGTGGGTGTACGTTTACACCCGAAGCACAAGGAAACGGGGGGCGTGGCTCTGTTCCTGTTGAGACAAGAGACTCAACGGTTGCTCCTCAAATTTGAGAGGACTTGAGCGTTTGACTTCAAAGAGTCCTACTATCCTGAGGCAGTCTTTATTGAACATGAGCGTCTGACCAGCAGGGCGATCTGGATGAAGACCATCCGCGCCTTTGCAGGGTCTGTCTCGTGCTGATTTTAGTTCCCCCTGGACAGCACCCGTCAATGCTGGAATACGATGTTCTGACACACGGGGCCTACTCATGGTGAAGGCTTTGTGCTGCGGACGCTTGCATGGTTGTTTGTAGTTACACTCAGCTCACCGGAAAGCTATGAAGATGTTTGGCGCTTCCCTGCTAAAGCCACTAGATACATGTGGAGCAGTTTGCTGATGAGGGATGCGCATCGTAATCCGATATTTTTGCAAGTCTGCTTTTGACGGGGGCTGTCTTGTTCCGCCATTTAGGGGAATTAGTGGATTACTTCGGGACGCTGCGGAGCAGCAGTCACTAGAAGAACCCCGACACGTTGCAGCCACGCGCGGCCGGCGAGGATGCTTGTTGAGTGGCAATTTGGGGATTCTGGTTGGTAATTTGGGCGAGATTGGTACCGGTGGCCATACCCTTGTATAGTCCGCACTGAGGGCAGCATGAGCCCAAACCCCATTATAGTGTCTTATGGTATATTGAATATATTCTGGTATAGTATATGTTGGGCCTTCAAGGCTGCTGCGCCAACTTTTCAGGCACTGCTTCATGGCCTGGGAGCCTGCACTTAATGCCGCAACCTCAGGCTGCTTGAAAGGATTTACAAATATGCTTTGCAAGGATTTGTGCTTGAAAGTCCCTCTCAAAAAAAAATGAGCCTTGGCGGAATCCATGTTGGGGTGCTTGCTGCATGCTACAGCAGCTGTGCCCAAGATGTTGGAAGAGCTGTATTCGACGAGCGCGGGCATCGCAATCGTACGTAGTCTTGGATGGCATGACAGTTGGGCACTGGCAGCCAGCAAGAAAAGCAACCATTGGTACAGATTTCAACTCCATCAGGCAGAGCAGTTCTTGCTGGGCTTGTTCAAGAAGCCAAGTCCTCAGAAGGGGCTGGCCGACCCAGGCCCCTGGGTAGGTTCCTCAGTGCTAGAACCCGTAACATAAATGGTAGTTCCCAAGATCAGAGTCCCATTTTGGTACCACTAAACATCCACTAAACATAAACACTGGGTGCTGTGACATAATCTATAACCAACATGGGCCACGTTTGTGAGAACGACCCATATGGTTGGAACTCAAGGCTAGACAGAGCCTATCTTTGCTGGGTTGACTTTCCCAAACTTGTTCAGTGAATGAGGCATCCTGACCGAAAGAAAGAGGCCGACCGGTTCCTGAACGGACTGGAGGCAAAGATCCGGGCCAGAAACCCAGAATATATTGCCACCACATGAGCTACTGTCTAAACTCCGTAAAGCAGGTTACATAGGGGATTTCTAGGGGAGCATTATATGGGTTATTAAGGGGATACTAGGAGTTTACACTACAGCTCAAGTAAACTTAACCCCCAGCCTCAGCTTCTTTTCTTGATTTGTGGACTCATTCTTGCTCCCAGGGGTATGGTGGCAAGGTGTGTGCGCGGCTAGGCACCTGGATGGTTTCTTGCTCTTGCTACAGTGAGGGTAACTTGGTGAAATCATTTCCGTGATCATAAGCTTGACTGAGCGGTCCTGCTTGCTGAGGTCTGATCAAGTGGACTTGTGGGATGTGATGGATGGGAAAGACCACAATGTGGAACCAAGCTTACCGTGACATGCAACATGCACTTTGAAATGGTAAGGCTGCACCGAAATCAGAGAGAGGTCCTGATCTATTCATGAACATGCATCTATTACTTCCAAGTACAAGGGAGGCCAAGCACAGCTCAGGAGCCCAACCATCTGAACCCAGCAGTCTTCGACTTTGACACAGTCATTGTTGCCAGCTTCAAAGACTTGGAAGCAGCCGCGAGCTTGAGTCTGACTCACACAGGTTGCATATGCCAAGCATGGCAGCTCAAGGGTTTGATGGCATTCGCGGCAAAGCATCATCACTACATTTGTCACTAAATTTGATAGTTGCTGTACTTACCTACGGACTATGAGCGAAGATGACTAGGTTTTGGGCAGATGTCCTTGCTGCCTGTTCCCAGGTTCATTCCTGGTGGTCCTCTGACCAGGCCTGTCATTGCTTCTTTGTAAGATTGTGCCTTGGGAATTCATTAAATTTCGTGACTGTTGGAAGGTCGAGATGCTGTTCGGACTCAATTGTGGCAGCCTAGCCAAGTGCTACCTTCCCTGTGTCAGGTGTTCGAACTGATGAAACACAGAAGCCCACTGACAAAGATGAGCCTTCACACCGTCGATGGTTCGGTCCTAAGCAAGAACGTTTTTTCACAGATTTAGCATGGCATGTCAAGCATGCCTTCTCAGCAGTGTGTCACAGAATCCCCGTCGAGCCCCTACCCGCTGAGTCTGGATGTGGATCACTGAACAAAATCAGGCCTTGTATCTGGCTTCGAGGGAACCAAGAAGCGAGCTGCAATGGGCAACTAAGCCGCAGAAGTGCAGAGTCAAAACAGGGAGGTAAGTAATGGAAAAGAAGATTGAAGCTACTATAGTATATTGTGGTTATATAGGGATAATGGAAAAGGAAATGGAAGCTACAATAGAATATTGGGGTTGTACAGGGATATTGGAAAAGAAAATGGAAGCTACAATATTGGGCTTATACAGGGATATTGGAAGAGAAAATGGAAGCTACAACAGTATATTGGGGTTATACAGGGATAATGGAAAAGAAAATGGAAGCTACTATAGCATATTTGGGCTATATAGGGAAAATGGAAAAGAAAACGGAAGCAAAGTATAAGTGCTTCAACAGGTCAAGTGTAAAGCTGTTCAGGTGATAAGTTACTGCTGCTGGAGATTTCGAAGATCGAGTCCTTCCGACCGTCCCGGCCTTACAGAATCAAGCTGTTCAGCTGCTAGGGACCTAGGGCAGATTTACAAGTGTAAGTGGGCCCCATTTTTGCCTTCTAAAGGCCTGTTGGGGACCTACACCCCTTCCAAACGGCGCAACTTTTGAAATTTGTGCTTTGCGTGAGAGGCTCTCACACTTATTGATCCTTGGGTCAACATGGGGAGCATGTATGCTGGACTCAGAATGATGATCCACATTTTGAGAGTACACAACAAGCCCCAGTTTTCTGGAAGCTTTCCAAGTCTCAGGCTGACTTGCGAAGCTACAGCAGAATTGAAGTCTCTGGCTACAAATTTCCCGCTTCTGCTGTTCAGCTCCACAAGCTGCAATGTCGCAGCTGTCATAGTCAACTTATGTAATTGTTCTTTCGCTTGGGAGTAGCTTCCATAGTTCAATCCCAGGATGCAGCGGTACGTGGACATGTACAAAAGGCTAGCGACGAAGGACCCGCTGTTTCCACAGCCAGTCCGGAAAGAGCGGTGGTCTTTTGTCTGGCAAGGATGCTGAGTAGCAAATTTGCTTTTGTGATCGCATGTGGAGACTAATAGCAACAGTAACAGTAATAGTAATAGTGTGAGTTTTGGGCATCCTTCGCTAGAACCTGAAGGGAGTCGTGGAAGCTGCAGTTGACAGATACGCTGATGCTGCACCATGACCATGATGTTGCTACCTGGTACTGGTGCTGGGAGTCGCGGGGCGCGGGCGGTTGGGGCAGGCGTGGCGGAAGTGGGAGGGGAAGCGGAAGCAGAGCCGAAGGCGTAGGCGAAAGGGGTGGCGACAGTGACCTTGACGGCAGCGCTGCTGCTGCCGCCACCTCCGCCGCAGCTGCTGCTGCGGCTGTTGCTGCTCTTCCTATGCTTTTGCTGGTGGCGGTGGTGGACATGGTGGTCATGAATTCTGCTGCTTATGTTGCAGTTACAGCAGCTAGTTGCGCAGCCACTCCCCCTGTCACTCTCGTGCTGCGAAAACCAGATGGTGCAGGCGCACAAGGACATTGGCACGGTCTGCAACTTGCTGTTTGCGGAAGGCGCGGCCCCAAGCAGCAATCACGCCTAGCAGCATTTGGTTCAAGCTTACCATGTGGCTAAGTGAGGTGGGCGGAATCGGGAGATTCGGAGGATTTTTACTCGCCCACTGCCAGAGAAGACGACGTGGAATTCCTCATGTGCAGAGAGCATGTAACCCCCAGCAAACTTATAAAACTCGTCCAGAGACATCCCGGATGCCCGGACCAGCGGATGTTTGTCCACTTACTCTGCCAAGGCATCAGCGGCGTTTTAGTCAATGAGTTTCCGGTCCAGGCCTGCAAATACAGCTTACAGCACAGTGGGAGTTGACTGGGTTTGTCCTGGTCAGAATGCTGATTTGCAAATTGCTCGGCAGCTCGGCCTGCAGATCTCTTCAGGTGGCATGCTAACTCGACACGAGGTCCATCCACCTGGTCAGCGCATCTTTGATTAGAAGTGTTCCTAAGGGTCCTAGGCGTTCTTTGTCTTCAAGCTTTTTTTCTGGTTGTTTTATTCCACAACCAGAAACCTAGTGGAGGCAGTTTGCGCATCGTGTTGGCGAACGAGATCCGACTTGCTGTCGTGGTGCCCTGCAAGACACTACGGGGTCGAACGGCTCACATTGCAATGTCTCAGAGGAGCGCCTTAAAGCACCCTGAGGGTTTAAAGGGATTATGAGCTGATGGAAGGAACCCCTCTGTACAGCGAGACACTGTCAGCTTGCGCTCCAGAGTCTCGCAAGCACTGGCCGGCTTGTGCAGCAGAAGTTGCCAACGAGGTACGAAGCTCCCAATTACCAGCAAGATCTGATGCCTCTGAGATACGACTTCGTGGGGCTCTTGGGACGTTCTGCTTGAATGCGGACTGAGACCGATTGTGCGGTTTGGCATCTCCCCTGGGGTGAACTTCTTGCCATCATGAGGCGAGATGTTTCACTGTCGCTGTCCCCATGTGGGAAGACCGGAAGGGCGATTCAAGCGAAAACATGAAGCCTGAACCTAAGAGTGCCGGATTGAGTTCCTTCGCACTTTGCAGATTACGAAAGCCACAGCTTCCTGGGAAACCACACGCACGGCGAGGCGAAGAGGGTCTGCAGCTGCTGGGATGAAGCTCAGGGGCTTGCAGGTGTGAAAGCGCTAGTCCCTTTTGTTTCAATGCCTGAAAGGGGTTGTATACATACATATATCGAGGCAACGGAAAATCAAATGGAAACTACTACACAGTTTAGGATTAAGGGTGGGGAGGGTGCTAGCATTCTTGCTTGTATCTCTTTTGCTGCGTTCTTCATCAGTAGAGTGAGATCAGGCAAAGAATTGCAAATGCGCCAGCAGCAAGCACATCCAGCCGCCTCAGCGCGAGATCGGGGCACATGCAAAGCATGGAGCCCTGTGATCACCAATGGCGGCTGCCGGCTACCAGCACATATCAGTAATTGATCAGATTACCTATTGAGCAAGGCAAGTGAAAGTCTTTCAAAAAAGTACCTAATATAATCCTTAATAGAAACCCCAGTAGTCCCTAGATGCCCCTAGGGTCCTTAGGGCCCCTCTGTTTGAGAAACTCCCAAGTTATGGAGATGGATTGAGTCGATGGCATGTGCTGGCTTCCAGGGTGTCACCCGTTCGGCTTAGCAACTTTGCTGGAGGCTTCTTGACTTGCTGAAGAGTTCGCCACAGTAGCCTACAAGCTTCTAGGAATTTCCTGCACTTGACAGCCACAACTGCTCGAACTGAAGATGGTTTTCCCCGCTCATTGAATTGTTTGGAGTCCTTTACAACAATAGACTTGCCTCTCGGGATTGTATGGCGCATGGATGGGTAGAACCAGAAAAGATGTTGCCAGAGGACACGCGGGATTGAGTATCAAAAGTCTGGCTGCTTCCCAGGCGAAGTTGAGAGATGTCATGGTACCCTGTTAGCACCGCGCTCCTGTTGGATGATGTCAGGGTGTAGCATGATCATCATGGTGTAGGTTTAGGGCGTTAGCACGCTCCTGTCGTCATTTCAAGGCAAAAGGTCTCCAGAATCAACGGCGCCTTGGTGTCCTAACCGGAACATCAAGGCAGTGCTGAGCTCACGCGGCAAAACAACATTGCAGGCTTACGGACAGAGGGTTTCAAGGCGGGGCACGGCCCCAAAGCAGGAAGGCTGCAATTGCTGCCTGCGCTTTGAAGACACAGGAAGCGTTCGACGATGCACAAGCAGGTAGAGTCACGCTAAAGCATGATTTGGATTGGTGCAAGGACCTGCCGCCTGTCAGCCCTTGAGACCACTGTGTGAGGGCTAGCACCATGCCGAAAGTTTGTTTTCTTTATGCAAGCAGACGTAGCGTTAGCAGATCCTTGACTTGCATGCAGCAACAGTCACACTTCCGAGCAATAAGTGCCTTTTGGAGTTCAGCACTGCAGCAACAGGGAAGCATCCTCCCCGTCTCTCCTTGCGTTTCTGGCCATTCTGGTGGCCACCCCCGGCTGACGTCCACTGGGATTGCCTTAGGCAACTTCAGAATGGATTCCTCCGGGTCATCCGACATGCACTTCCACATGGTGCAGGCTGGGTGCAGTTCTGTGCTTCTGGCTTGGACGGACGCAAGCAGATCGACAACGGCTGATGCAGGTGAGAAACACCTTCCTGGAAGTCCAGACCCAGGAGGACAGGTAGTGAAAGCGGGTTGAGAGCCGACAACCAAGAACGAAAGGACATGATGACAGTTCCCGTCCCTCATTACAACTTTGCAGCACTAAGGCCCGCTCACGTCTTTGACTTGCAAGAACTAGATTCAACAAGAGGCCACTTGCCAAGCCTGTGGTGAAGGATATGGGCACCCGGATAAGCCCAAATAAATGTATATATAACTCCTATAATCCCTACAGTTTCCATTTCATGTTCCATTATCCCAATATATATATATATATATCTCGTATAATCCCTATGTAACCCCATGATGTCATTACTGTGTTTTGGGCGAGGAGCCAAAATGTTGGCAGCATTCTGCTAGCTAGAGGTTCCCCATAAATGTCTGCTCCATTCCCCGCATAAGCCTACACCCACAACCCGAAACCAACAAACCCAAATGGGGCCCTGCAAAACTTCAGGAATCCTTACTGTAAGGACCTCATACCTGAGCACTCCTTATATCCTCCCATTTTTGAGCTATAGTCTAAACTCTAAACTCCCTGAAGGGGCTTTATATAGGGGGCCATTATAGGGGTTTCAAGGGTGATACTAGGAGTTTAGACCATGGCTGATTTGGAGTCCCTTGAAACTACGTCTAGTTAGCAAGGAAGGAAAGGATCCATGTAGTAGTTCCTCTAGGATCCTCAACAGGAGTTTCCATTCTCTTTTCCATTCTAAACCCTATAGTCACCCTTACGTAGATAGAATATGGGGTATATGGGGATCTTATTATATTATACCCAAAGCCATATTCTATCTACTTAAGGGGGACTATAAACCCTATATGCCTGCTGAGCCCGATGCGCGTGCCTAAACCTTATATAACCCACTATAGTAGTGTTTATTTTCTTTTTCATGCCTTGATTCCCTGCTTCCAAGGGCTAAGTCACAATCTCTATATAGCCCCAAAAAGGCAACATACCACCCCCTACATCACCACGTACCACTCATGGTAGTTTCCCAAAACAGGGGGACCCCAATGTAGACCCCAAAATACTATAATCCTTATTATTGAAACCCCCAAAATGGTACCCTCAATTTTGGGAAACCCCTTTATAGGCTTCCTAAAAGGATGTGGAGCGCAAATCTACGCGGCCTCGCAGCAAAAGTTGGAGCAACTCATCCTCTTCCAACAGCTGTGCCTGTACGGCAATTTGTGGGTCTCTTGAGGATACATAGGGTTTAGGGTGGGTTTCTTAAGGATGCATAGCGGGCCCTTTTCAAAGGGTTGTTTACGGATTGTATCGGGTATACAGGGCTTGGGGCCAGAACCCCGGGAATCGCGAATCAAACGGAAAATGAAATGGAAGCTGCCATCTAGGGTGCAATTTATAGGTCTAGGGCTGCATTATGGAAGTATGGGGGCCCCTAAGGAGGTAGAACAGAATTATAGAGGTCCCTAGTGAGGCTTGTGTTCAGCAACTCCCACAGAGGGATTAGGGCTAAGGTTTTGGGATTGTGGTATAGGATCACTGTATAGATTTCCGAAGGTCATAGGTCCTACTCCCAAAATAAGCCCCGAATGGGCCCTAAATTGACCTTGGTTCTTGACAACCACTCATTTTAGAAGTACAAGTACCCAGGGATTATGCAAGGGCTTGTCTTTGCAACCCTAGACCCTAAACCCTAGGAAGAGTAGGAGTCTTTCACAAGCGTGCTGTGGATTAAGGTCTCAAGAATGACTTCAGGGATAACCACCTCCAGTTTCCATTTCATTTTCCATTTTCTTTTCCATTTGATTCTCCATTATTAGGGTATGACCCCCCCTTTAAGGAGTTTAGATTAGGAGATTCTGGGCCTCCCCTTGGGGGCTTTGCTGCTTCGCACGATAACAAAAACCCATGACTTTGGGCGCATGATGGCCCGAGTTTTGAGGGGCTCCCATGTTTTGTAACATGGTAGGGAAAAATGGATGAGATTTTAATTTCGGTGTATCAAAATTGTATAGTTGCATAGTGGTGATCCAGAGAGAGGTCACCGTTTGGTAAGCATTGTAGCATTGTTGTAAACGCTTGTACTTTATCCGCATGCCCATGCCTAAGCAATTTGCAGGAACCCTTGGGTCGACTCGCCCTGGTGCTGTATTTCAAGAAGCTAAACACCTAGTGTAGAACAGCACACGTCGAGCCAGGTCATGAGAACAGTTCAGCAGATGCGGAGAAGGAACAGTGGTACTCTGTGACTGCGAGCGGGCAGGTGCATGGCATGCGCATCATGTCAGTTGAGCCGTGCCTGAGCAAGCAGCATGCGTGCAACTTGAGCAGCACCACTTGAGCAGCGCGCAGAGCACGCGTGCCGGCTTCTGAAGCCTGAGCCCGGCCCTGTGAATTTTATTCCGAGCGAGTCTGTGCAGCAGGCGCATCACTCAGTTTTCGAAGAGCTCTCGCCTCAGCATACAAGAAATGCACGTGTGTGGATGTTTGCAAAGTTGTTTGCCTCCTAAGTCATGGTGAATGCAGGTTTTTGCCACGAACATGCCAAGGCGCTGGCAACACACGCTACCCCACCCCCGGAAGATGCAGTGCAGTCGCAAAATGGCATGTACTAGGGTCGTGGATCAGAGCGGCCAAGGAACTCTTCATCAGCGTCCTCGGCCTTGGATTCAGAGACTACATCATGGCATGATGTGATGCGCGAGTTCCAAAGCATCTTGGGCAGCACTTGGAACTTCCATTGCCTCTCTTCCTCCTGCAACGATCTTCTTCAAGTCAGTGCAGGCTGACACCCCATCCATCCCTATCAACTTAACTTAGATGGCGAGATGAAACGGCAGGATCGTACTCTTCGAAGTTTATATGAACAGCTGCTGCTGCGAAAGGGACGCCCTGTCTTCACAGATGCAGGAGAACTCATCAGAATAAACCTACAGTTACAATAATCCTGCATAGTGTAGTCTTGCATAGGCTCAGGCTTGCATAGGCATATAGAGACTCTAAAGTCACGGTAGTAGTGACCGTTGTTTGTACTGTTGGCTGGCTGACATTTGGGCTCACTTGGGCCAGGTTCGCAGCGGCACAGTTCCCCTTCTCAGCAGTATCAGCATCATCCACCCAGGGATGAGGTGGAAGGGAGCTTCTGATACAGTTCGCAGGGGTCAGGTGACAGAAAGCGAGAGCTAGTGAGCGCGCGTACTTGCATCAGACTTGGCTGATAGAAGTATTGTTAAGCAGAAACCATGAAGTGGGGCAGGTCTCGCAAGCCGTGCAGTCCCGAATTGAGGCGATTGAGGAGCACTGTGTTCGAAATCGCTGAGCATGAAAGTAGCATGGCACTTTGAGGAATTAAAGCGTCACGCGCACCACAAGGAGTTGTTGGATGATGACTACATACCACAATATGGGCAGTCCATCGGCGCAAAGGCCTTGAGCAAGTGCAGGATCAGTTGCAAGCAGTGCTGATGGATGCAGGCTGTAATTGTGGCTGTTTTCCCATGGGAGTAGCCTCCATGATTTCGTG